AGTGTTCCCAGCAACGGCGGGCAGCCAAAACAAAAAGGTTCCGCTGCCTCGCAGCCCGCAGTTCGCTCCTAGTCCGAGTCCAAGTCCGAGTTCGAGTTGGAGTTCGAGTCCGAGTTTGAGTCCGAGTCCTGGCTGCTGGCTGCTGGCTGGCAGATTTCCAGATAAAAAGATTGACAGCGTTGATAGTCGAAATAATTAATTGAATGAAACTGCTACAACAAATGCCTTTAATTAGTGTCGGGTTTCCACTTGGATTTTGCTTTCCCACTACGTGCCACCCGAGCCACCCAGCTACTCGAGATACCCGAAAGGGTATCCCTGACTGCTCCAGCTTGAAGTGTTCCTTCGGTGCGCTAAGTGACTACCCAGCCAGCCATCGATGAGCTGCAGCGCTGCACGAACCAATTTCCTGACACTGGGCCAGAGGTCTCGGCGGATTCCAGGATTCTGGGAGTCCGGGCAACCGGGAGACCAGGACTCGGTCGCATTGCTGAAGGTGAGAGAAGCCCCCAGCCCCAGCCCCAGCTCCCAAAGGTTCTGTCGCGCATTTCCATGAAATTATTCAAGCAGAAGGATATATGATAATTTCCGTCGGAAGTGTAATCAAAAATCGCTTAGACAAGGGCTCCTTTCCTCCTTCCATCGTCGCAGGCGGCGCAGGAGCACCATGCATGTGCCCATGTGGTGGGGAGGCGGAGCTGTGGACTTGGGACTCCACCGACCGGTGTGGGTGGTATATATAGCATGGCACAAGGTCCAGCCGAAGAATTGGGATGCAAGGTCGATTGCTGCATACGCGTGCTTCGGACACCTGAGACGCGGAGGATCTTAAATCCTGTTGCCACATCGAACAGCAGCCAGCGGTGCTGCAATGTGGTGCAACTAATGCTGCATCAGCCAGCTGGTGGGGGGCATGGGGCACTCAGGAAGACATCGTGGACATCCTGGACGGCAATCGCGGGTGTTTTCGATTGACTTGTACGCGACAATGCCATTTGGCCATATCAGGCGAGTGGTCTTATTTGCATTGTGTTCCGTTTGAGCCGCTTTCTTTTTGCCGCTTTGCGCTGCGTTTGTTTTTACGAATAATCCGCTTTTGCCGGGCCTTCTGATCCTAGTCAGCTTTTGTCCGCTTTCACACCAACTCTTTGTTTTCCGGTTGACCTTTTTGTTTTTCCTTTTTTGAGCTGGTATTTTCGCTTTCACTTCGTGCAAACGGCCGAAAAACCAAAAGATTTTAATGCCATAAATTCATATTCCCATCATTCAATTGACAAATGGCCATATGTGGCCAGTGACATGGTTTCTCCACCAGCTCCCCCCTCCACAAGTGGAGGCAGTGGCTCCCACTCGGGCTTTTTGCTTTTTGCTCTCGATGCCATTGTCATCGATGCTATTATTGTTTTTGCTGCCACTGCTGCTGCAGTTTTAACAGGATTTGCCATGCATTTTAACTGAATAATTGATAAAATTTTGACACAAAAGTTTATTTAAGTGCAGTGCGATGGCATAAACAAACCAAAAACCAAAGCAACAAAGTGCCGTCCCGATGAACCGACTAGCGGATACCCGTTGAGCAGCCCGCCCCGCTTGGTGGATGCACTTGCTCAACCTGCTGGCTGGCATGGCTGCACATCTGCCGATCAGATCGCCAAATCGCTGCTCCCCAAATGGCAAACGTGTGGGCAGATTAACTGCAGCGGCCAAATGGGATTGGCCTATGAATTGTTATTAATTAATATGAGTATAATGCGAACTCGAAATGCTGCGTCCGAATCTCGGCTGTCAGTCAGCCAGTCAGCCAGTCAGTCAGCCACTTATTCAGTCATTCAGTCATTCAGTCATGAGGACAGCCAATTGCCAGGCCGTGCTCCCTTTTCGTCCTTTTCGTCCTGTGCCCATCGTCGTCTGGCGCTGACGCTGTTGCCGTGATGTATGATGTTGCACTGGCTGCAAAAATGAAATATACAAAGTGGAATTGAAGTGGAATTATTCATGGGCTCTCGCTTTGGCTGCGCCACCACGCCCCCCGCCGCCCCCTTTGTGCTTGATGCGATATTTCTACTTCGGATTGCCGCCACCGATTGTAAGCTGTTTGATTTTTGTGCCCCACGGCAAGTGGCATGTGGCATGTGGCAAGCCGGCTGTGCGGCAGTGCGGCAGGAAGAGCAACAGGAAGCGGAAGGAGGGACCAACGCGCCACGTGATGATGGGATGATCCAGCATCGAGTCCAGCATCCTTTTGTCAAAGCGACTACAATGACTTTTCGAGTGCGAGCCGAGTGCAGTGGCTCACCTGATGAACCAGGACCAGGACCAGGACCAGGCGACGCCACCAATCCCCTGAAGGCGCCGCAAAAAGACGCCTGGGTGTCAGAGCTCGACTTTTGGGGCAAGCGAATTAGGGCTCCTGCCTGCGTGTCCAGCGGCCATGACAATAAAACTGACAACATTGCCCCATCAATTCTGGGCTTTAATCTGCGATGACACTCGCACGACACAGCCAACGGGGAAGGGCGGTGAAGGGGCAGGGGGAGGGGCTGAGGCACGCGCTTAGTGGCTGTTAAAGCCAAATAGTTTGGCCAATTAGTTTGCCCCGCCAGTGGAGAGGGAACAATGAAATGAAACCATTCAATGAATTCAACTTGTCATATTTATGGCCACGATTTGAAAGGGCGATCAGTCTGCCATTTGGGGCGTGGGCGTGGGCGTGGGTGTCCTGGAGCCTTTTATCGACAGGACGCATGCATCGGGATGCGAGTGTTTGCACAACCACACCCGCCCACACACACACACACACAGACAAAATGGGCGTGTGTCCGTCTGGATGCATTGTCATGCGTGTGGCTGCGTACTTATGTCATATGCATGTTTGACTACTTAAAATTCAATTGGCTCTAAAATAAATGATTGCCAAATATGTGCGCTGGGCTGTGCGGCTGGAGCGGCGGAGTGGCGGAGTGGCGGAGTGGTGGAGAGCTGGACGTTGGCACCCATTGTAACTAAGTGTCAATTGTCATGTGTCAAATTGTGGCATACAAATTAGGGTAATCAGAGTACAACAGCATGTTTGATTGCTTGCTTTATTTATGATTGTTTGCACAACTTGGAGCCGAGCCGGCCGCAACCTCGTGTGTCCAGTTGCCAGTTGCCAGTTGGCAGTACGCAGTCCATAGTTGGCAGTACAGGTAAACACACCGCCCACCTGCGAGGCAGACAAGTGTTTGTATAAATTGTCATTGACATGAAGGCGCGAGTTGGCCAACAGTTCGGCCAACTGGCCAATCAGTGGGCCAGATTGCTCATTACGTCTTTTGGAATTAAATACCCGCCTATATTTATATGTAATGCGTAATGCGCTCCTAATTGCTTTTGGGGCAAGTGGCGGCTGCATTCAGATGACAACTTTTCAGTTGGCCCAACACCAGCACATCGCAGCACCACTTCCATACTTATGAAAAGCCGAGGCTCATTATTTTCCCAGCACGAGCATGCTGCTGACAAATTCAAGAGGCAAATCCAGTTGAAAACAAGTTAAGATATTATAAATGCATAAAGGGACAGGACGGGGCATTCCAAGCCGTGTCCTGGTTCCGGAGCACAATTAACATGTGCGGCAGCGTATCTGAATACATATGCATGTGCCTTCTGCCGGGCGCAGTGGGTTTCGTGTGGGGGTGCAACTTAAAATTTAACCAGCACCTCCTTGTGGGCGAAGGAACTACAAAGGACCTTTAGCACACACCCCACGTTCTGAGCTGAGCAGCTGCAAAAAGTGGCCGCAGCCTTTAGCACCCACACACACAGGGGCGTGGGGCGTGGCAGGCGGTTTTTGTTCAGTTTTCTACACCGAGGAAAACACTAGTAGCGTTGAGTCTGCTCCATCAAAAATACCACTAATTCGAAAGCAACGAGCAGGGGAAAACCTAAAACTGATGGCATGAAAATTCGGATTTTTTTTCCTTGCCACAACTACTCAATGTCTCTTGCCACTTCTAGATCGTCCGGCAGCAGATCTTGCGGGAACAATTGCCGGCTAAATGCGCAGACCCCAGCTCCCCAAGCCCCCAGCTGCCTGCCTTTTCCTGCTTCGTCTCAACAGGGCAGCAGCTGCTGGCAAGGACAATTAGAAGGACCTGGCCCGGGAAACAGCACCCAGGACCCGGGACCCAGGACCCAATATATATGCCTTTGGCTGGCTGGAACAAAGCAGGGCGCAAGTATGTGGCTGGCAGGGGCAGTTACCGTCGCCGCCCCGGAATAAAGGCGCAAAAATTATGAACTTTGGCCAAAGATGAACACGCTTTTAATTTATAAATACGCACGGCTGCGGGGATGAAAGGGTTAGGGCGGATGAACGGGCTCCAGATTGCGGATGGCACATCTCCACTCGGCACAAAGTGGGCCTGGAGCCAATAAAAGATATACTCGTATCATAACACTAGTATCATTTGCATAGGAACTATCTACAACTTAGCCTTCAATTTCTCAGATCTATAGATGTAAATGTATCTGGTTCCGAGTGCAGCCAGTCAAAAGTTTATTACTGAGTCGCACACATGGCACTGAATAATTAAGCAGTAGTGCCAGCATCTCTAATCAAGTAGTCCCCGCCCTGGCGGAGTGTTCTGTCAAGTTGGACCTGGCACTCCCAGCAGTCGCAATTCCTTGAGCAGCTCCACTGGCCGCCGGCGCGGCAGCAACACGTGGCACCTGCTCCTGCTGACCACGTGTTGCTGCTGCCCGGCCAGGCCCGGCCCGGCCCGGCCGAAAAACGTAAACAAGCCGGCTGCTCCGAAGGCTCCAGCTCGTTGGCCACTCGAGTGACTCCGAGCGAGGACGACGCCGCGGTGGGGACGGGGGGCACCTGGCATCGGCCGTCCTCAGCCAACCGATGTTTGAGTGAAACCCGGTCGGCGTGCCGTTCGGCGAGAGCTTTCCGAGTCCCAGTACGAATCTCAATCCGAACCCGCACCCGAACCCGCTTCAGCTGCGAAGCAAACGTGAAGTGGCAGTGGCTGCTATTCCGGCTGGCGACTGTGGCCTTCTGCCTTCAGTTGTTGTGCCGCCGTGAAGGAGGACGGAACCGTGCGCGCATACGGAGCACATTGGCGCCGCTGGCATTGGATCCAAGAGAGAGACTCCCAGATTCCGCAGTTCCATAGTTTCGAAAAACCGCTTTCGAGTGCTTTTTTTGTCAGTGCTTTCTGGTGGCTGGCGATCTGAGTGGCTGGCGTCCATGGCTGGCGTTTGGAATTGTGAAGGTCAGCGCGTCGTCGCGATCGGTCTGCCATTTCAGTGTGTGTCGTAATCCCAGGGATCCCTAGAGATCGCGTTTGGCAGGCGTGCAAAAGATACGAATTCTGTTTGCCCAGGACTTGGTGTAAGTGTACGTATCACGTGTAGCTGATCACAGCTGCCTTAGCTGCAGTTTAGCTGTCTGAGAAAGTGAGTTTCCGCACTGGTATCCATGAGCTGCGCAAGATGATCAAGTGGCTCGGCTCCAATGTCACTGGTCTGCGGCTCATTTGGTGCTCATGTCCATGGGCGTAGAGGCAACTGGGTGCGGGTGCGGAAAAGTTTAGGTTTACGGCCACTACGCCACTTACGCACGATTGGCATAAAAATGTCCTGCAGGCGGCAACAAGGACATAACAATATACATGCGAGTACAACAGTGACACAAGTGTAGCCAAAACGTACGAGCGCCATTAAGTGTGGCAACTACATACATACATACAAGCACCTTTCGCACAAGACTCCACACCAAATGGCTGCAAAATATGAAACTGCTGTGCGAGCCGGAGTCGTAGTCGCAGTCGGAATACGGAGCATTATGTCCAAAACCACGACGCCGACTGGGACTACGGCGCTGTGCGGATATTAGGGTGCGGGTCCCTTGTCAGGAACGTGCCGTGGCACAGGCTGCTCAACCCCACTAGTTGATAGTTGCTGGCCCAGCCACACATGCACAAGGGTTCCCGGTCATGTCTGCGTCCGTGTCTGGGTCCGACCCGTCCGGCCCTTCTCGTTGATAACTTAATGGCTGGACAATGCAATATTTTCCCTTTACGAGTTCACTTCTGTAAACGGCCAAAACCAAGTGCTGGCCCGCTCCAATTTAGCCGCTGCCAAAGGGCTTTTGAGCCGTGTATGCCAGCTTGGCGTCCGTCAATATCGGCCATGATCCCCATGGCCTATGGCCAGTTCGAGTCCTGGTCGCCGTACTCAAGGACATCCTGATTTCCTGACATCCTGTTCGCACGGCGGGGGCAGTCATTTCCCATGAATATCACAATGTAAACGGATTCCACATGGATGTGACATAAGTCGCAGTAAAAACGTGTGGCAGCAGCACAAGCAGTGGAAGTTGCAGCAACAGTAACAAAATTAAGAGGGCAGCAACTGCTGGGGCAACTTTACTAAACCGTGCGGCACGTGATGCCTGTGCCCAGCGCAGTTCATACTGCACTCCGTTCCGACTCTGAATCCGATTTCATTTGCATGCCTGTCTGCAGATACTAAATCACCTTCAGCTCCCTTGAGCAATTCTCGGAGCACGATCCGTGGCCTTCATCCGGCCTGGAATCTGGTCGAGCTTTCAGATTACTGTGGCAGGATGCAGGTGGCTGGGCGGCAAGCAGAAAGCTACAGTGCCGCAAAAGTGACTCCTAATGTCTCACACAGTTGCCGAAAATCATAATGAGAAAAGCCAGCAATCTTTGCAAAGATACCGCATTTTTCTGAGTGCACACTGGCTACTTTGTGTCCACATTCAAAATAAATAACACAATTGCGGACTGTGCAAGTTTGCCTGTTAATTGCTCCGCAGCTGGGACTGTGCAACCGAATCGAAAACATTTAATTCATCTATGGCTGCGCCAGGCTTTCCTTTTTGCTTTTCCCATCTAGTGGAAAACCGCGGGCGTAGTTGGCAATTTAAACGTAATCCCTTTGCTGACGAACATCGCCCCTGATCGAATTCGGTCGACAGGTGCCACACCGCAGACACTACACACTTGCCTCCGATATGGACTGCCCATGTGCGGATCACAAATCTTTGACTTAAAATTTAGCAGCTGGCAGCTGGCAGCTAGCAGCTCCATGCTCCTCCACTCAGAATGCACTAAAAGTGGCCGTAAACAACCGAGGTAATTGCCAACCTGGAACCCGGACTGTATAAACATTGTGGTAAACATAAACAAATTCGGCCCATGGTCACGGACCACATTTTGGTCGAGTTCACGAGATGAGGTGACCAGAAGAGAATAGGTCGTTAAAGCATTTACGGCCGATCGGTGGGTGGGCATGTGGAAATAGTATTTCAATTTCAAAATCTCGAGCAGCACGAAATGAGTGGCGATAAAAATAAGTTGCCAAAACAGAGATTATCTATATATTTATTTATACATCTCATCTTTATTGAGCGCGCACAGAATGTATTTCATAACTCACGCCGTATGCTCCTAAGATGCCGATGATGATAATTATAGATCTGTTGATCTGCTGATCTGCCGATCTGCTGATCAGAACTGAACTGAGCTGAATTGATGCATGCCACACGGTCCGACCTTTAAAGCGCCAAAGGCAACGCGAAAGAGCCGCGTTCAACTAATTACCTTTGACATCAGATTGGCCGGAAAATAATTTACTTGCTGTTCTAGAATTGCTTATTTATTTATTCACGAGCCTCACGAGCAAAAAGTCTATAATTTATTCATTTATGACTTTTTATTTTATTTATTATGATTTCTTTTGACAGAATGGTTTAATAAATACCCCGCCCCACCCGCAGCTCATGCATGTAAATGCAGCCAGAATATATATTCCCACTCACCTGCAGTCCGCAGTCCGCAGTCCGCAGTTCGCTTTTCCCAGTTCGCAACTTGCAACTCGCAGCTCGCAGTTCGCAGTTCGCAGTTCGCACATGTAGGTAGTTGCAGTTGCAGTTGCTGCAGGCATGCATAATTGAAGAGTTGCACGTGTGAAGTCGCCAACAGCTGGCGCCGCCAAAGTCATCAACTGGCGCATTTGTAGGTGCACTTCCAGTGGCACATGCAGCTCCCACTGAGGGCCAACTGCATCAGCCAGCTGCATACCTCAGTGGCACCCGGGCCGTAGCTCCGTAGATTTATGGACTCGATGGCTTCCAGTTGCAGACGCAGACGCAGACTTGTGTGCTTTATCATGGGCAGCTCGGTGCGATTGCCATGCAATCCACTGGTGCCTTAGTGGCATGGATTTGCATCACTCTCAAAGGTGTCCAAAGGCATGCAACAATGTATGTGCACCTGCACCTCGAAGATCGACGTTCTGCTTTCACTGTACCCACGTTTACTGCACCGCTTACTGTTTGCTTGCACTCCTTGCAGGATACCACGCAATCGGACAGCCTGGCACTGCCCATGCATCCACCAGCTGCAGTGCAGCAGCGCCGGAATGTTGGCCGCTGGCAGCAGTGAGACCACTGACTTTGGGCCACACTCGCGGCAACTATCGGCTGGCACCACGCCCAAGCGACCCCACAAGGCCAGCAGCCACCGTCCTGCTCCTGGTCCTGCTCCTGCTCCTGGTACTGACCCAATGACAACTGGTGGCTCCAGCGCAGCCAGCGGTAACGGAAACGCGCTGTCCTCGGCGAAGGGAGGGAGCGGCGGTGGAGGCGCCATGTCTGCCACCACGGTGACAGCGACGACGGGGAAGGCCACGGTCAGCCATGGCCATGGTCACGGCCACGCCCTCGGGCGCAGTGACGCAGTGACGAGAGGCGGCCGAGGCGCGGCAGCCGGACGCTCCAACGTGGACGGCTTCGTTGGCGGAATCGAGACGTACTTGGGCCTCATCGGGTGGCGGAAAAAGTGCCTGTACACCCTGCTGCTGCTGCTGATGCTGCTCATCATCACGAACCTGGTGCTCACCCTCTGGATACTCAAGGTGATGGAGTTCTCAACGGTAATGGCCACCACCCAATCCCAGTCCCAATCCCAACTCCAACCACTCACCACTCCACTTAACGCTTTCAGGAGGGCATGGGGCAGCTCAAAATCGTACCCGGTGGCATACAGCTGTCCGGACAAGCGATAATTATGGACATGCTGCGCGCCTCCACAATCCGTTCGCGGCACGGCCAGCCCATCTCCATAGGTGAGTGCGAGTCGCCTCCGGCGTTATCGAGCGATTAGGAGCCGCCGCCAGCAAACGGCGCCTGTTCGGATTCCTATTAATATTCATTTCATAAATTCGCACCCTTCACGCTCCTCACACAATTCGCACCCCACTCGGCTGGTTAGATCGTGGTCACACCTCGGTGGACGGACCATCGCCTGGGACCATCGGGGGTCCAGGGCTCGGGGCTCGGGGCTCGGGGCTCGGGCTCACTGATGAACTTCCTCCGCAAATGTCAAAGTCATGGAGCCGCCGATGAGTGACGTGCATGGCCGAGTGGCCGACTGGATGGCTGAATGACTGAATGGCATCATTCAGTGCATGTTTAATGAACTGCGCTGCCGGCCGCTATTATGCAGCCTCCGAGGAGCATTGGCAGGCCCATTTGTTTTCCCGTGCTTGAGGGCAAGTGCACCGGGCTTAAACATTCATGGCACAGGTGGACGGGAGGTTGGGAGCTGTGGTTAGGTGTGGTGGACATAGGCAGGGGCTCGGGTGGGGCTGGTCGAGGACAAATGTGTGCCGGTGCCAGTGGAGACATAAATCAACAGATATCAAGCGTGTTCAGCACGCAGGCAGCACCAGCAGGAGGAGCAGGAGCAGGAGCCAGAAATCAGGAGCGCTAAGCATCGGTAAATGAGATCGGGGCTGCTGCTCCGCTCGCTCCACATGCTCCACTTGCTCCGCAGTGCTCCACTTGAGCAGTAGCAAGATGTACAATTACAGATAAGCCATGTGAAGGCACGAGCAAAGAAGACGGATGCCATTTCCCAGGGAGCTACCTTCGTCCATGTGTCGACAGCAAAGCGTTTCCAAAAAGCAGCAGAGCATTTCCCGCAGCGATAAGCGACAACCGCAGATACGTGCGCGGAAGTGGGCGGTGGGTGGTCCAGATGGACGGATACGGATACGGATACGAGTACCGACTAGGACTGAGGGATGGGCGACGGGTGACGGGTCACGGCGGAACACAGCCACCTGGAGGGGCTGTCAGCGAGGGCTGATAGCTGATAGTTGATAGCCAAGAGCGATGGCCGTGGTCGAGCCACCTGAGACAATGGAGGAGCGCGGCGGAGCGCGGCGTCTGAGTTTTGATTTCCGTTTCCGGCGACTTGTAACGTGCTATCTTAACCAGCTGAGCGCGGGTGTGTGTGTTGCTCACTCATTTATATTGCACTTACTGCCCAAATTGTCACACAAACACGCGGAATGCGCGCATATGTATCTATACCCATTGCTTATCCTCCACAGAGTCATCACGTAACTTTTCAATCAATACACGTGATCCGAATGGCATGATTGAGAATCATTTATTCCTGGGACACGACAAGTTCGAGTGCCTGTCGGCGGGCTTTCGCATAAACGACACCAACGGACGCAGCCTGTTCTCCGTGAACCGCGATGAAGTCACCATCGGAGCACATGCCCTGCGGATCGACGGCGAAGGCGGCGCCGTCTTCCGGGAATCCGTGCAGACGCCCCACGTGCGGGCCGAGCCCGGCCGGGAGCTGAGGTAAGTGCTGAAGACGGAGGTGGAGAAGTTGGAGGTGGATGAGGATGAGGAGCCACGTCCACACCCGGGAGCTGGCAGTTCGAAGGATCTGCCAACGGAGCGCCAAAGCCATGGCCAATTAAAGTAAATGAAATCGAAAGCCAATCTACTGCAGTCCGGTGTTGAAATTCAATGACTGCAATAAATTTTGCAGGAATTCGTTGCCAGCAACGGGCGGGCAGCATCCACGGCACGCCATGTTGTGGCATATTAGTCGTTCCTGGTTGGAGTTCGGTTGGGGAAATCTGAGAAATAAAAAATTAAAAGCAAACACTCGGCTGCACTCGTGCCCCGCCTCCTCCTCGTCCTCCTCCTCGTGGGTCTCTGTCAACGTCACCTTTGCGGTAACGAAAACAACGCCAGGCCCACTCCCACCTGGCGTCCTGGCGTCCTGGTGTCCTGTCGTCCTGGTGTCCTGGTGCACTGTAGGTGCACCTCCGATGCCACCTGTATAGGTGTCGCCATTCAGCTCACTGAGCTCACGCGGGGAGCGAAAATATTTATACACATTTGTCAGAATGTACACAAACGGTGGCAGTGAATTAAAAAGCGCTTCGGGGGCCAGACTTTTTTCCTGTACGGCTAACGCCGGAATCGGACTGCGATTGGGATGGGCACTGGGTGGCACTGGGTGGCGTGGATGGCAGTCGCTGCATTATGCCCATCCATCAGCCCATCTGTCCGCGTGGGCGACTATGTGTACATATGGACCATTAACAGGATCGGCGGCTTGTAATAACATTTTCATTGACAAATTTGGTGATAGCTGCCTGTTGGCTCATGAAAATTACAAATTGTCTGGCGCCAGGTACACAGGCAAACATTTCAGTTGCCGAGCCGACAGCGATGTCAGCGCAAAGTCATATCAGCCATTCAAATTGAAATTGCAATGTTTTCGAGGCACTGCACCAATCGAGCGACTTTCCGTTTCATTAGGCCGGCGTTCCGGCGATAGGTGGTGGTGGACTCATCGGAATCCCAAACACCGGATGCTGCAACCTGCATTCAGCATTCTGCAATCACTAACCGAGGTGCCGCCGCAACGCCTTTCTCCTGATTTAATTACAGACTCGAGTCGCCCACACGCCAATTGGAGATGACGGCGGCCAAGGACATCAATTTGCAGTCGCGGGCAGGAGGCATAGAAGTCGTGGCCCTGGAGGACGTCAAGTTCCGAGCCCTCGATGGGAGCGTAAGTATGATTGAAAGCTAGCTGCGTAGACTGAAGGCCAGGTGGTGGCCTGCTGCTGAGTGGTTGGTAGTGGCGTAACCAGGTGTCCTCCGTGTGCTCTTCTCGATGCAGCTGCGCTTGGAGTCGTCCAAGATACTCATGCCCAACCTGCGTACGGCCCAGCCGCCCATTCTGGGCACTGCCCAGAGCAGGGATCACATGCACCGCGTCTTCCAGCTCTGCGCCTGCTCCAATGGAAAGCTCTTCCTGGCGGCTCCGCACTCCATATGTGCCGGCGATGATTCCACTGTCTGCAGATGATTGCACGACTCAGCGCGCTGGCAGTCCACGTCCGCATCGTCCAGGTCCAGGTCCAGGTCCCGCTCCGATACCGATACGGATACGGACACTGATTAAGGACACTGGGTCTCCGGAGTTTTGACACACCGGTATGCAAGTATGCAAGCATGCAAGATCACAGCCATAGCCACACCCATAGGCACACGTTCATGTCGAATCACTCATATGCTAACTGGAACATAGGACATATACCCAACTAGTGCAAATCACTCACCCACACACACATGGTAAGCCAGGCGCTAGTCCTGCATTCATAGCCGTTCATTATCGTTCACACTCACACTGTCGAGGGAATTGTACCCGAACTCGAAGGACAAAATCAAGAGCTTCTTAGACACTTGGATGTTGTGTACTAGTATAACGAGGGCAATTCGGAGACATAGGCATAGTACCCATAGACCTATATTATATCACCAGTCAACTGCTAAAGGAGTGAATAATAGACAGATATGATGTCATAGTCAGCGGTAGTCGAATCCCACATCAGTTTTGGCGTAAGTTCTAATCCCCTCAAAAATCAGATTGAATGAAATTCGGTTATAGTTTGGTTTTAGCAGAAATCACCACACACAGCTCGCCTTATACAAGAAAGTATTTCTACTAGTTTTCGATTACGAATATACGCTAATGTTTACAGCTCGGTTTGATGAATCAGTACCACGAACTCGAATGATTATTCTTTATAAGCATAAAACCTGTCCCGATTCCACAAAGCAGTCCACAAATATTGTACATAAGACTGTCGAACGCATAGAACTCCAATACTGCAACATAGCATCCATCACAGTGCAATACGAATACGAATACGAATACAAGTTGAAATATAAACTGAATAGGACCTACTCATAACCGTATTCATGTAGATATTCTCGCGGAAACTAATGAAATTTAGAAATGTTTATACGATAACTACGTACTACGATCAGAATATCCAAAATCCGAAGCAGCATGCTGGTATCAAACACAATACGAAGACAATGAATATCATCCAATAAGTCGCAGAGCTATTTATACCTATACCTAGATACAGAAATTAACTGAAATTCGAGTATGAGTATCGATATGAATACAGAAATGAAATATGGCTATGGATACAAATACGAATATAAATATGAATATAAATATGATTATAAATATGAATATAAATATGATTATAAATATGATTATAAATATGAATATGAATACGAATAGAGTTGAATATGAAATTGCCGTTGAATTTGTCAAGTGCGGGAGCACTGGTATATAGATATATATGAATAAATGAATGTATATGTATATGTATCAGTATGTATGTACACCCAATGCAACTGCTTTTAAATGGACATTAAGTATAATTTGTTGTTGATTTTTTTTAGCACGATTAGGAAACATAAAACGTAACATAGGGAAAATACAGAATCATATATCACATATATTGTAATACAGCAACATACTTACAAGAAATACATGCGTAATGAACAAACTAATCGGCCAAATCAATTGACGACTGAGAAGATATAGTAAGTCGGGCGGGAGCAATAGCAACAACTTCTCCGCCTGCAATTGGTTGGACATACGGATTTTTAATTCGACGGCTAGGATTGTGCGCACTTTTTCCAGCAAAGCGCTCAAACGAGAACTCAAGCCGAGTGCTCGTTGGTTGACGCCTTCCAGCGCCACTTGGATGGCGCCGTGCCGTGGAGCAGAGTGATTCAAGTGCCTTGTGGGTGCGTCTAAGCGAAGGTCTCCTTCGCTGACGCTGACGCTGACATGGCGTCCAGACATAGGCCCTGCTGCCCTGCCCATCCCAGCCCATCCCAGCTCAGCTCAGCCCAGCAGCTGCAAATGATGTGGTCGTGGTCTTGGCTTCGTCCTTATCCTCGTCGGCGTTGTGGGAGTTGCCGACGGGAAGTACGAGGGCTACGACGGCACACGACGAATCCTCGGGCGCCTAAATTGAGTTACTCTCCGAGCCAAGGATTGCTTTGAGCCGAATTCGAGCTTGGCCCACACAGACAGGAGCTTTGCTAGCCGTCGTGTTCGCCGCGCGCGAAACTGTCAGTTCAATTCGAAAGCTCCAGGTCCGAGTCCCTCGTGGGATGAGCAGTCATCCTGTGATCCAGCCTAGCCCTTGCACAGGGCTAGCATGTGGACTGCCCTATTCCCTATTCCCTGGTATGTTCCATGTGGTATGAGCCTGCTGCTCCTCAACCAACAAGCTGCGATGCAGACGGCAGAGGTACAGCAGGGTGCGATGGCACACTCGGCGTTATATTTAGTAGTCTATTAATATTCAAACAGGCTCTTTTGTGCTGTTCCCTCCTCATTGACGCGCTCTTTTTGTCAACCATACGCCCCGTTGTACGACCCTCACACGTGGCCATGTAATCACATAAAATTTTCTAATTACCGCACTAACAAGCACACACGAGCCTTCCAAACTGACAGCTAGGAAGCAACTTTCGCGAGTCTTCCATTTTGGCAACCCGTGCCACTTGCCACTTGCCGCTCTGCCACTTGCCGCTCTGCCACTCTGCCACATTGCCACTTGTGCGTTTTTAGCCCCGAGCACATGCATAGTTTAAATTTCAATGCATAACTCAAGCGCTGTCTTAAGCCGCCCTAAAATTTAAATGAAAACACCTTGCGGCGCCATATGTGAGCGGCCATAAATTCAGCAGGCCACCGCCTAGACTAGACCCATCCGTTGCCCTTCCTGGGATCGGGCTGGGGTTGGGCATGGACGTCCCCCCAAAGGGTCGGGTGTTCCGGGGGTGGGACGCAACAGTTAGTTAGTTAACGATAGCTAAAATGGGTGTAAACCTGTGCCAAGCTGACAAATTAAGTATGCATGGAAGTGTAGTGTGTTCGTCCTCGCACACACACACACACACACACACACTCCCCAGCACCACCCACACACACACACACACACGCTCAAGTGGCGAGGGGTGAAAGGCATTTCTTTCACGTTGCAGTTAATAGGATTTGGCTGGAGAGTGGAACGAAATTAATTGTTTCATTTGTTTATAAAACGTTCAAGTCACTGCTCTTGCACCACTGTTGACAGCGGGGTGTGCGTGTGTGCACGTTTCAACGGCTGTGTGTGTGCTGGTGTGTTGGTGTGTTGGTGTTGGTGTGCGGTGTGTGCGTGTTCGGGTGTTCGGGCGCAGGGATCTTTAGGTGCATGCCTTAACTGACGTTTAAGTGGGCAATTAGGCAAAGCTGTGTAATGTTTTCATCGTTAAGGACGTACGTTGCACAGCCAGCTCCAGTTCCACCTGGAACGTGCCACCGCCCATCCGCCGCAAGGTCGCATTTGCCAGTCAGTCAGTCAATCCGACAGATAGATCTGGGCTCACCACGTCGTCGGAATGGCGGCCTTTCTCGTGCTCTGTCCAAGGAACACTTGCAGCTGGAAAAAGTCATATTTCCCCGGAGCCCGACGCAAACTGTCGTTGCCTCATCCATTTACTGACTTATTAAATTACACACATCCTTGCACAGGTTGCCGAATCCCGCGGTGGCTGGATGGCGATGGGTGGTTGGTTAATTTATTTACATGCAAACAGACGAACTTGCCTGCAACTTGCAGCGAGCATCGAGTGAGTGCTCAACGTGCACCCCAGGAACCCCAGGAACCACTGCTTCCTGGCCACCTGCTTTATGGTGCCCAGAATTTAAGAATGCCAAGAAGTAGTTGGCATTTGTGTCTTATCTGCGGCATCTCAGTGCCAGGAACGACGTCGGTCCAAGCAACCAAACGAATTTATGTCGTAATGAATGTCAGTTGCCACATATCTGCGTGTCTATCTGCGCTTTATGCCCAGTTCAGCACTTCTTCGCACACGAATATCCTGCCATCCTTATTGCATTGCGGCATTACCGTTTAGGGAAATTTAATAGCCATTCAAGCCTCGCCAAGGAGCACTGGGCCAAATGTTGCGCAGTCCGCTTATCGGCGGGAGTTTTGGAAAATGATTAGTGGCGCCCCGCCCCCGTTCGACTCCTGCCGAATCGAAAAGGCTGCACAGGCGTCCAGCTGAGCGCGCTGAGTGCCAAGCTGCTCCAAGCCCAAAAGCCAAGCTAGCTAAATTACGAGCTGTTCACTTTGTGCTCAAGCGTTTCCCTGTGGGCCAACTCATTTACAACATTGTACAGCCCTTCCCCTGCGTCGGCTACATTCACTTCGGCACCAGTCGCACAACTTGGCTGAGGGAACTTGGAGCAAATCGCTACACTCCAGTCCCACGTAGAGCGTATCCTGGGTGCGCCTTGCCGCTGTCCTTTTTTCCGGATCCTGTCTCCTTTCTCCGCCCGACGGCTTTTTTACGAGCTGTTGCCGGTGCTGCCCGCTATGCGCGGGTGCGTGTTAACAGGCAATTAAATCCGAATTACAATGTGCCCCTTCTGCACTTCTGCACTTCTGCACCCCATCAGGTACGCCCATGTGTGTGTGCTGTAATCGCGAGTTCCCTTCCGTTCAGGAGTTAAGCGGCAGGTGTGCCGAGCGCCACGCTGCTCGCTGCGATCCGGACACCAGTGCCACTTGCCTCCTCCTTGCTCATTCCCAGTTCCAATCCCAGTTCCAGTCCCAGTCCAGAGCCAGCTTGATAAGGCTGGCAAAGTTCAAGAAGCCAGTCGGCAGTTAGCAGTTGGCAGGACTTGCTGCACTTTGGGGGCCAAACTGGATACACGTGCCAATTAAAGATAAATTTTAATTGCCGCCACAGAATGGAGATTTATGGCTCAGGCATTAACCGAGCAAATCGGACTCGCTTATCGGCCCACTTTAATTGAATCGAACACACACTGGCATCTCAGCCATAATCGAATTTCCAAATGGTCGAGAATCAGCATTTGCGTTAGAATGCGGAGGCGTCAGACCGCACAAAGTTGGCCCAATTGAATTTGGCTGGCCTGAAACGTTGGCAACTTACTCAAACCGAATCAAATGCGACTGCAGCGTTCTTGGTCTGTCAACTTTTATGTGCCTCTCCGCTGAACTTGAAAAAATGAGCACTCGAATGGGAAAAATGTGCTGCGGATCCAGTTTACTCATACATTTGCAGCTACTAGCTTAGCTTAGCTTCACGCAGTTGGGCGCAGTGTAGGCCAGGAGCACAAATACGCGTTTAAAACACCCCGGCGGCGCGACTAAATGTGGGCTTACCATATCACCACCATATCATTACCATGGGCGCAAATGAAGCCATTTCGCCACTTCGCCATTTCGCCATTCAGCTCGAACTCCTCCCAGCAGCAGGGAGGCTGCGAGTGGGTGGTGCTCCACTGCGGTGTTGTGTGCAGACCCAACTTAATCCTTTTGTGAACAAACATACGCTCTTTAGCCTGCTGACCGAGCCGTGCTCCGTGCCGCCTCCTCCTCGTCTCCGTCCTCGTCCTGGTCTTGAATCTGGTCCGGATTCCGAGGCAGAACTGGTCCTGGGTCCTGGGTCCTGGGTCCTGGCTCCGTTTCTGTTTGTGACTCGCGCGGCAGAGGTGACGCCGCGGCAGGGGAGGGGTCGCAAAAAGTGTGGCAAGCGGAAATCAAATGAAAAACTCGTGCGTCGCCCCAAAAATGGCACACACAAATGGCATAAAACAACATAAAATAAACTTTTCCGAACGCATTTCTATTGTCAGCGGCACAGGCACAGGCACAGTCTCAGTCTTCCCGCCGTAGTTGTAGTCGTGGCTTTCGCTGGGCGAATGGAGCGTATTTGGGGCTCCTCGCTGAATGGTGAAAACTTTCCTGGTGTGCGGGTGCCCTGCCCGGCTTTTGTTTGTTGTTCCCAGCTTCCCAGTTGCCAGTTGCCAGTTTGCAGTTACCAGTTACCAGTTCTCGGCAAGAGCGTTTGTTTTCTTTTCCTTTCCCCTTTATTACGTATTTTATTTTTTAGCCGTGGCAGTGGCAGAACCAGAACCAGAACCAAAACCGTTCACTTCATTTGCCTACACGGCCGGGCCAAGAAGCACTTTGCGTGGCTGGGGTGGCGGGGTGGCGGGGTCGTCGTTACTGCGGCTGTTCCTGGCACAGCCCGAAAGGATCATGGAGGCGGAGGAGCAGCGGCAGGAGCACCACCACTGCGAAAGGACAAACTTTTGTCGCTTGGTAATGATGGCATTTTGGCA